CTGCTCACAAAGGTGCTTAGCACTGAGCCTGAGATGGGAAAAGCCAAAGAGAAAAGTGTTTAGACTTCACAAACTGTTTCCATAGTGAAGGAAAAGAACTGAAGAGAAAACCTTCCCTCTGCATTTTTACTTCTTGTTTTGTTTCTTCTTGTTTAAAAGGGGCTTTCAACTTATTATAATAATATATTTCTGCGTTTGTTTATATCCTGCAGAAATTTACTATTGACTGAGAAATAAAAGACAATATTATTTATTTCAATTTAGAGATTCTTGCACTTTTGTATGCTGATGTCAAGTGATCCTTCAAATAACGCAGGGATCTTTCATCATTGGCTCCTTACCACAGCCCCGCTCCACAAAGTCTCTTTAGTGCCTGACTGACTACTAGTGAGCAGCTAGCTAGCATTTTAGAAATACTTCTTAACTGAGGTAAAATGATTGAAACACACAGCTTTAATAAGAAAAACATAACTGCAGTGTCGACAAATGATAAGTTTCACAAATTCACACAAGTAAAGTGAGGCTTTGGAAAGCAGCTTATAGATTGAGCTGTTCCTTCTCCCTCTTTCTCTTTCACTGGATGTCTGAGCTAGTAAATTAACTGAATTCTATCTGTATAGTTTATTGGCTAGTCTAACTTTGCCACTTTGTCAATGTACAATACTTTCACAAATGCTAATGGTGTTTGGATGATTGGCCAAATTCACAATTGCATCAGTCACAAAGGACCCTGGTGTGTCCCATAGTCAGTTACTGTCAGCACTGTTTTGGCCAACTGAGCATGCTGAATCGGCTTTATACGGTTATAAACAAATACAGACACACAAGAGCTCCAAAGGTTCTGTTAACACACTAACATAAAATAAAGCATGGCATAGTCAGTACATGAACTTTTTAAAAATATATAACTATGTATAAACACTTTTCTTTCACACTAGGCTTAGCTTACAGTGAATCATCACTGGTGAAGCCTGTACGCTCATCGCTATCTGCTGAGCTCATCAGCGTTTGCAGTTTTCTTTTACTGACAGACAGACTACTGCCATCTCCTGCTCCAGAGTTATTTCCTTTCCAGACACCCATTGGCTGTCAGCTGTAGTCTTTGTGGTGTGTTTGAGTACAAATTTTCCCGCAGATGAGGGGCAACTGTTAGCTGACAGAAGACTAACAGTCGACCTTAGTTGGCGCTAGTTCTTAAATGTCAGTTTTGTTTGTCCAGTCTATAAAATGTCCTGGTTAAATGTAACTTTACCTCTATAATCTGATCTCACGTAGATTCAAAGTCAAAACATAATAATGAAAACTGGTCTATTACACTTGCCTGATCATTATTATTTAACTGTATGTCATGAATGTTCTTACTGTTTTTTTTTCTTATTTATTTATATAGAGTATATCAGGCATTAGCGTTTACATGTGCATTTAAATAAAATAAACAACGTACCAATGTAAAACTTCTACCAGTATTTACACTAGGCTGAAGGTTATGATGAACCATGAAAACAGATTTCCTCACTCAGTGCTCATTGGTTCTATGTACACTGGAATGCTATCTGTCACTGATAGATAGCAAAAAAGGCCACCTTCTCTTTAATTGTTTTAGCCGAGCGTTACTACCTCCATGAAGCTTTGAGAATCTGACCCCTGGAGGACAAGTGTGTATTAGCTCTGGGTTTATACTGAGATCAACACAGGCACTGGGCTAGCCTTACCCTTGTACAATCCTGGCTAGCCATTCCCTGGAGGTTAGCATTTTTGGGTTAGCCACAGAAATCCCAGAAAACATGGTATTAGCTTTGCCACTGGCAGCAGGGGAACACAGAAATACAGAATCTGACACAGTCAAATTAGATACAACTTTCTGGAAAGTAAGGTTAGCTCTGTAATTCAGAGCACAAGAGTAAAGACTCAGCACAAAGTTAAAGCTTTGCTCAGGCTTATCAAATGCAGGTAAACATAAGCTAAGCTGGCAATGAGCCATCTTCAGCTCCAGGCAGCTCAGGACTATGCACTGTGTGAACAGCCCAACAGCACATCTAAACCTTTCCTGAATACAATAAGCACCAATTTTTTGCACTGCACAATGGTGTGTCATGTATGACAAAGACTGACAATTTCAATGCATGAACTGAGATCATTTGTTCACATATATTGAGGTAATGTATTTTTTTTTTTTGACTATCAAATGAGGTCCCAATAGCAGAGTCTACATTCAGTTATTTAGACTCTTAAGTTTGCATTAACCAAAAACAGCAACTGTATTAAGCGCTGGTTTTCCAAACATAGAATCGGCCTAGGAACTAAATTACAGTTAATGGATGATATTCTGTAAACCTTTTTCTTTCACAAGCAATGCATAATGTAGGCAAAGTCAAAATGTCAGATTTTTTTTTTCATAAAGCAGTAGGGCAAAAAATACCCGCTACATTTTCCTGGAGCAAACTTACTGGAGTCCGCAAAAAACAGCCTGACACCACTTTAGCAGGGAAGGAGCCAATCCATCTCTATTAAGTCTTGATGTCTTTACCTGGTTGAAATATAGCATCTTGAAAAAGCATTCAAACCCCTTGAAAGTTAGCAACATTTTCTTGATTATAAATGACACTATTACAAATACCTACACATAATTTTTCAATTAGTTATTTTTCATCAACTCACACCCTAACATCACGTTTTTAAAGCCAAAATAAGTTCTTTGTCTGCAGCAAGTATTTTAAAGAAATACACTCAGTTAAATACTTGTGGTATAAAAATGCCACCTTGTGCTGCACTAACAGCTTTAAGTCTTTTGGGGTACATACCTGTTTTGCACAGTGTTATGTATGTTATTAGAGTATATGAGTTTACAATAAAATGCTTAAGGGTAAAGTAAGTGCATGAATCATTTGTATTCCAGAAAATGTTGAACTTTTAAGGGGTCTGAATATTTTTGCAAATGCCATATATGTAAGAATTAGGAATGTCCTGATCCTGATCCTTTGCACCTTGATCCAGGCAAATTTTAATGGAGCATGTATTGGCTATATTAAGCCTGATCTGATTTCAATTCTTTAGATTGTTTTTTTGTGTTCTACTTACACCACTGTCCTAGAGGTGTCATCAACTGGCATTATCCACAATCTGAAAAAGTGAGGAACATTTTCAGAAAGGAATTGATGTGCCAGTTTGAGCGCCACATTTCATCTGTACACTTTCACGTAAAATATGAGTGAGTGACTGTTACGCTTCAAGTCTGTTTTCTGCCACGTACCATCAATATGTCACTAGAAACGTACAAAAATATTCCAATCGCAAACTGGTTGAAAATAAAACTCATTGCAGAAATATTCTGGTTTCCCAGCCACTCTGCTTCCACTTTTAACCAGCATTTAGCAGGAACAATGCCTTCAAATGGAGAGAAAGGAGTACACTAGTGCTTGCATGTTAGCCCAGTATGAAAAAACACTGTATTTGGAATTTTATAAAATGGTTATTTCGTATTATTAATCCACTAAATAGATATACTTTAAGACTGTATACCACTATGCATATATGGACCATTTTAAGAACTGGTTCAAAATGCAGTCCTGCAGCACAAAAACTATTAAAAAAGTCAACTAAGTATTCAGACCATAGATATTTACAAGGATTATGTTATGATCTATTTTAAGCCAAGGCATTAATTGAGATAGTAGTAAGCTAAATAAACGCTAACCCCTAAATTCCAACTTGTGAAAATTAATACACAAAGAATTTTAGTCCATAGGCGGAGTCTTATTTTAGCCACAGAAAGTGTGACGGTATACCTGTCCTTCATGGCCACATAAAAGTGAAATCCTGTTGTTTTGAAATAGATGTGTTCCAAAGTCTGAAAATGAGTGTGTAACCTTAAGAATGGTCTGAAACACATAATTTCTGCAATTAAATAAACTTTTTTTGTGTTTGAATAAAATATTATGATTTTATGTGTGCACAACTGTTCAAAGCTATGTTTGTTACTCATGTACTGGCAAGCATTTTGAGTTATGCTCAAAATTAGCTAAAATCATCGCTACTGAAACATTTAGTAAACTTTCACTAGTGTTGATTGTTTTGGTAGTGACAAAAGGAATGTTCAATCATTTGTTTTAATAAAATAAACATCATTAAGGCTTGAGGTCATTCAAAGCAAAAGAATTTTAATCTAAAGTCTAAGTCAGTTAAAAGTCCAAAGTGTGTTTGTTGAACTAATTCATTAGAATGATCCATATAAAAAATGAAGTGATTTTGCTGCAGAATATTAAAGTAACTTGTATGCAAATAAGCAGGTAGGTCAACACAAGCGAATAATAAACACAATACAAAATCGTTATTAAAAAAGGTTTTCCAAAAATACAAAACACATGAGTCCAGAATGTCACATTATGCACGCACTAAAAATTAAGTTATTTTACTGTAGTATTAATTGGCAGCCTAGCATATCGTCGCTGTCCAAAGAAAAACAAGTATCTACAAAATGGAAATGTAGAACAGGGAGGGCAAAACTTCTTCTGCTGCCCTCAAATTATGCAGAAAACTAAAAGTTGCAAAATTTGGAGATACTTGTTTCTTTCTGGCCAGCAATGATATCTTAATTAAGTTATATGCCATATTATCTATGAAAACACAAAGATCAGATAAGATCAGTATTGGCCAATTCTCAACAGTACTCAGACTGGATCAGGGTAAAGAAGCTGGATCAGGACATCTGTAGTAAGCATTCACGCTTGAACTGTCAGCCTATTAAGTTTCATAGAACCATTTTCCCCTTTTTTCTTTTCCCCTAGTATTGAGGTCCTCTCTGTTACAGATTGTGTTCAATAGTACATCGAACTTTTAATAGCTACATATACATATATATATATATATATATATATATATATATATATATTTATATATAAACCAACAGGTATGCTACACATTCACAGCTGTTATTATACATTTAAATGCATGAGTTCATTAAATTCTATACTAGACTTTATATTAGACTTCACCTAAACCATATTACTTATAAAATAGCAATTCTGGATACATACAATTTATCTATATATTTTGCGAAAATATATATCTGAAGATGAAAAGAAGATGAAGAAGAAGTTGTATTTTGTAATGCCCAAATCATATGCAAATGTATCTCTGCAATACAATATTATTTCATAAGTATATATATATTTGTATGGTAGGGCAAAAAACTTATGACCAAACCCATCACTGTTCCTTATGGTCCTGATGATAAAATCGGAGCTCCATGTTGTTTCTGGAATCCTATCCTTTTATCTTGATTGATTTCAGATGAAAATATGGATGTTTTTTAGTGTCAGCTGGAATTAGACCAGTGTTCCTGGGGCAGCAGGGTCCGAGCTGGACTCTTTTTGGACATTCTCCTGGGAGGGGAATGGTTCTGGGTAGAGAGAAAGCTCCACAGACCTGATGCAAAAAGACAATGAATTTAGGAAGAAAGAAAGGAAGGAAAACACAAGTTAGGTACATTTTGCAAGCAATAAAATAAAGAATGCAGTAAAAACAATGGCTTATTTCCATAAAACTGACTAGCAATAAATAGAATCCATTATAAAGTAATTCCTAGAAAAAAAAACAAAAAACTGTTGCATAAGCTTTGCTTTATGAAGAATTTAAAGTCTTTTGGAAATTGTTCACACATTTTCTGTCTGCTTGCTTTCTTGACTTTTCTTCTGATATGGGTGACAGAATATGGACAGTGCTAATTTACCATTTATTATTGTGAAAATCATTTGCACTATCAATATCAGCAAAAAAATATTTGTCGATATTTTAAAGCTCTACAAATATTTGCTATTTCTATTGGCAACATCATAAAATATTTTAATATGTCATAATATATTTTTACAAAATACCTTGTTAGATGGAAACCTGCCTACTGCCTACTGTTTTAAGTACTATTTTGAATCCATGCAGCTACATACAAATTATTTTAGGACTGCAACATTTAGTTTACAAAGTCAATTAGCCATGGACAGCATTGATTATGAGAAAAAGTTGGTGCATCATTTACTTAAAAGCATTTCCTTAATGTTGATATAATCAGTGTGACAGATTGCAATACTCTACAGGAAGGGTAGGGGGCAACAGGCTTCTATTGTTTCAGTGCACCATAAAAGTAGAAACCACTTTTTGCCCAGTTGGAATAGATGGATTAATTCATTGAATAATATGTGACAAATTAATCAATTATAGAAATAATTATTAACTGCAGTTAGGGCTGGGCAATGTGGTGAAAATAAATGACATCTCAATATTTAGCCTTTTAGCAATAACTACATATGTCTCAGAATAAACATATTCTCTTTGAAATGGCTTAAGACAATGATCTTATTAGATTTAATGCCACAGGTGAGAAATAAATTCAAAATATTTACTGCAATATGAATTAAAATACAGTAAAAAAATATTTTTGGAAATAGTCAAAGTCTGTTTTACAGAGGTTTGCTTTACAGTAAACAAAGGAATAATGCATTACATTTTCTCTTGTTAGTCTCATGCATTCCTCACTGCAAGATATGTTGAGGTGATTCAAGAGGTGAACAAAAGCTTTACTGTCCCCATCTCTCTCTCAGTACTTCCACATTTAGTGTAGACACTTTTATTCAGAGCAGAATCAAACCCCATCTCCCAGTAGTTACCCACTGCACTCTCCAACCACTAAACTTCAGCTTTTTCAAGCTTTATTGTTTGAAATTGCTGTGTAATGAGGCTTAACGCGATCACACAGCTGCCTGCATCTTCTGGAAAATCAACCCACATAAAATACAAACTAAGATCACCACAATGTCCACAATGTTGTCCAGCTTTTTATGTCCAAAAAACTCATCAGACATTGGAAATTTTCGATACATCAACTAGCCTTAGTTGGAGCCTTAAAATTACTGATAATCTGATATTTTGAGGAATCAAAATTAAAAAACGTTTGGAGACTCACTTGCCATGCAGTGGGTGTCCATGGAAGGATGCAGACTGTGGAATGTGTGGGTGTGTGTACAGTGGGTCCAGGGGGACAGGCTGTGGCTGGTGCAGCAGGTGGTGGCGCAGGGGCAGGGCGTCATGCCCCTTGGGGGCACTGTAACCCAGAGCGTTCCTCAGGTACCAGTCCCGCAGGCCCTCCAGTGCCAATGCCTTGTGCAGACTGCGGGTGGAGTCGTCTGGCGAGGGGAGGGAGAATGGTGCAAGTCTGCGGGCAAACGCAGCAGGCAGTTCAGTAGTGGCAGTGGAGCCAGGGGCCGGGTGTGGGGGCTCGTATGCAGAGAGGAGGACTGCGTCTTGGGGGTGCTGTTGGAGGGGAATGAAGGGTCCACAGGATTTGGTCCGAGTGACTTTAACCCGTCGAGGTTCGGCCTGCTGGTCCCGCAGGAGCATGGGGCTGTAAGGGGGTGGGGCTGAAGCCAGGTGGATTTGGGAAAGAGAGAAACCATTGTAGTGTGGAGAGGTGCCAGACACTGGAAAAGAGGAAAGGTCAAAAGTCAAACAAAAGAAGGCTGAAAAGGATGCTGTTTCCTACTTAGTTTACATGGTCAGAACATTTGTTACCAGGCTAAACATTTAGAATTTTTTTAGCATTAACAGTCAATCAGTAGCCTTAACAGACAGTAAAAGCAAACTGTTTCCTATCAAAACTTTCAGTGGGACTCACACCATAAAAAGATGAAGGTGCTCTGCCTCTGGGTTACAGTGGCCCCAGGGGCATGGTGGCCTGCCCCTGTGCCACACACCACCTGCTGCACAAGCCACAGTCTGACTCCATGGACCTTCTCTACACACACCCACATATGCGTCCTTCCATGGACACTCACTGCATGGCAGATGAGTCTCTAAGCTTCCTTTAATTTTGGTTGCTTAATAGCTCCTTACTGAATTACAGTAACTTCTCTGTAACACCATGTTTATTTGCACAGCTGTACAGACGTTAAATTATTGCAAATATTCATATCAGTCTGTAATTCTGTATAGAATAGTTTTTTAGTACGTCTACTCAGACCTGCATATATATAGAGATCTGCTCACATATATAGTCTGCATGTTAGATGTCATATATGTGTGCACTCACCAAGACAAATTCCTTGTATGTGTAACATACTTCGCAAAATAAAGTGATTCTGATTGATTATATTTGTATCTGTATTTGTATCTGTTTAGAATGTGCCATTTATTGATTCTGAATAATGTATTCCTATAATGTCTTACAAAATTATTCAATCCCTTAAAAGTCCTCAAATTCATCTGTATCACAATTGACACTTTGATATTTTGTGCTGTGTCATTCTATTTTAAAAGATTGACCCTCAACACAAATACATTTAAAGTGATGCTGTTTCCATAAGTATTCGATCCCTGTGTGGTGGGAGCTTCAAGTTTACACAGATGAAAGATATTGCCCAAATGAGGATACAATTGGCTTACATTTGCACTCTAACTAAGAATCCTTAAAAAAGTCAGGTTTTTTTGGATAAAAGACCCCCTTAATTCAAGTACCACTGGCCAGTCTGTGAATCCAAAGGAAAGCTGTGAAAATGAAGACCGAAGAGCATTCTAAAAAAATCAGAGGTAAAGTTATGGAGATGCAGAAGATAAGAAAAAGGCTACTAAAATAATATACAAAGTGTTTGGAAATCCCAATAAGCACTACTGGATCAACTATGAGGAAATGGAAGCTGCATCATACTACTTAGACATTGCCCAGACAAGGCCTTCAAACTCAGACCTAGAGGGAAGCTGCAGAGAGGCCAACAATTACTGTGAAAGAGCCACAGTGCTCAGTGTGCCGGCGAAGGTACCAATCTAGAGTTTTGTGTACAACCTGCCTGAATGGAAGGATGGCTAGACAGAAGCCATTATTAAAGAACAACACATCAAAGCACATCTGTAGTTCGCCAGAAACCAATAGCGTGACTCAGCTAAAATGTGGAATAAGGTTTTGTTGTCAGATGCAAAAAATTGAGCTTTTTGGCCAAAATTCAAAATGCTATGAGTGGTGCAAACCTAACACTGCCCATTAAACAACAAACACCATTCCAACAGTGAAGTATGGAAGTGGCAGTATCACGACAGCCTGCTTCAGTCTGCTAAAAAACTAAAGCTGTGGAGAAACTTCCCTTTTCAGCCAAAGCAAGACAGGAGTGGTTGCATAACAAAAAGGTGAATGTGACACAAAAGCCAAGTCAAAGTCCAGATCTCAATCCAATCGAGAATTTGTGGCACTGTTTGAAAACTGTGGTCCACAAGCATCATCCAACCTGAACAACCTACAGCAAATTTGCCAGGAATAAAGTGGCAAAAATCACTCCCAAACAGTGTGCAAAGCTGGTAGAAACCTCCCCTAACTGACTTAAAGCTTTTATTGGTGCAAAAGGTGTAAATCTGCTAGGGTTGAATACTTATGCAAGCAGCATTTTTAAGTTTTTAATTTGGCATAATGAATCTTGTTTTTATCCTTTAACAGCATATTGGTTTGTAATAAAACTACTTGCTGGAACAATTTGTGTTAAGTGTCATTTGTAATCCAGTGGAATCACGTGACTTTGAAGGGGGGCTGAATGCTTTTGCAAGGCACTCTATGCACTTACACAATTCTGATCACATAATGTGACTGGTTGAAAAGTGTTCTATCCATGCTGTTATTATAACAGCACAGTAATTACTCCCTCTTACCATGTTGCTATAACAAAAACAGTCGCTTACTCTAATACTCCGTTTACATTATGACAGTAAAGCAACAATGGCAAACCAGATTTTCCATTATTTCAATGAAGCAACAATGGCCAGTATTATACAACAAATACAATACAACCCCATTTCCAAAAAAAGTTGGGACACTGTGCAAAATGTAAATAAAAACAAAATGCAATGATGTGCAAATCATTTAAACCCTATGTTTCATTGAAAGTAGTACAAAGACAACAAATCAAATGTTGAAACTGAGAAATTGTGTTGTTTTTTGAAAAATATATGCCCATTTTAAATTTGATGTCGACAACACGTTTCAAAAAGGTTGGGACAGGGGCATGTTTACCACTGCGTTTCATTACCTCTTCTTTTAACAACACCCTGTAATGGTTTGGGAACTGTGAAGACCAATTGCTGTAGTTTTGAAAGTGATATGTTTTCCCATTCTTGTTTGATATAGGATTTTAGCTGCTCAACAGTTCTGGATCTCCTTTGTTGTATTTTTCATTTCATAATGTGCCAAATGTTTTCATGGTCTGTACAGGTCTGGACTGCAGGCAGGCTAGTTTAGCACCCAGACTCTTTTAATATGGAGCCATGCTGTTGTAATACATGCAGAATGTGGTTTAGCATTATCTTGCTGAAATAAGCAAGGCCTTTCCTGAAAAAAGACGTCGTCTGGATGGCAGCATATGTTGCGAAAACATGTATATACCGTTCAACATTAATGGTGTCTTCACAGATGTGCCCATGCCACTGATAACAAGCTGAGTGGCCGTTAGACCAGAGGACACAGTGTCCATGATTTCCAAATTTTAAATGTTGATTCGTCGGATCATAGAACACTTCCACTTCACCTCAGTCCACTTTAAATGAGCTCAGGCCCAGAGAAGGTGACAGCATTCCCGGATCCTGTTTATAAATGGTGTCTTCTTTGTGTTTTAAAGTTTTAACCTGCATTTGTGGATGCTGTGATGTTCACAGACAGTGGTTTTATAAGTGTTTCTGAGCCCATGCATTGATTTTCACTACAGAATCATGTCAGTTTTTATTGCAGTGCTGTCTGATAGCCCAAAGATCAGAGCCAGCCAATTCTGGTTTTTGGCCGTGTCCCTTGCATAGAGATTTCTCCAGATTCTCTGAATTTTTAATGATATTATGTACTGTAGATGATGAAATCTCCAAGTTCTTTGTTATTTTCCGTTGAGAAATGTTATTCTTGAACTGTTGCACTATTTGCTCATGCAGTCTTTCACAGTGTGGTGAACCCCTCCCCATCTTTCTCTCTCTGGGAAAGAAAGACTCTCTGGGATGCTCTTTTTCTACCCAGTCATGTTACTGACCTGTTGCCTGTTAACCACCAGGTGTTTTAGCATTATACAACTTTACCAGCCTTTTGTTGCTCCCGTCACAGCTTTTTTGGAATGTGTTGTTGGCATCAAATTCAAAATGGGCATATATTTTTCAAAAAAAAATTCTCAGTTTCAACATTTGATTTGTTGTCTTTATACTATTTTCAATTAAATATAGGGTTTAAATAATTTGTACAACATTGCATTTTGTTTTTATTTCCATTTTGCAGAGCGTCCCAACTTTTTTGGAAATGGGGTTGTAAAAGACTCCTGTTTGTTTCCATCTTAAATAAACAATCAACACTCCTGTGCTGCGCTGTCCATCACTTACTGCTATGAGAAACATAACACTAACATGTAAATACAGTTTTCTGCTAACAACTAACCACATTTTAACAAAAAAGAAAAAATAGAAAATGATGCATTCAACAAGATTTAATTTGACTTGCAGTCTGTCCTTGTCCAGCCTGGTCAGGTTTGGAACAAAAGTGCGATACTACCCTGTAAAAAAAGTTGTTTTAAGTTAAAAAATTTAGTTTTAGTGTTCGAGCTGCCTTAAAATTGAGTTAATTAAATTTCGAATAGTAAGTTAACAGAACAAGAATCTGTGTTTTATGCCCTATCAGTACCTGAGTGAATTTATCTCTTATTATGAACCATCACACCAACTTTGATCACAGGTAGCTGGCTTACTATTAGTACCTAAAAAGTTACTTCATGGGGGAGAGCCTTTTCATACAAAGCCACCCAGCTTTGGAATAATCTTCCAGTCAGTGTTCGGGACTCGGACACAGCCTCAGTTTTTAAGTCTAGGCTAAAAACCTACTTGTGTAGTCAAGCCTTTGGTTAATTATTTTTTCCGATTAGTTAAAGAGTGCAGATCTGGGGGTTCATGGACACGGAGTATTTTGGTAAACTGGGAGTGTTGGTACTTTTGTCCCGCTGCTACAGTGGAGCAGAGGGGCACTGACATCTAGGGGTGCCCTCGCGTCTGTGTTACTTTCTGGCTCTCCCTTTTAGTTAGGCTGTAATAGCTAGACCTGCCGGAGTCTCTGCTGCACTCTGTTAACACTGTATACTGTAATCAGTCTTTCTGTGTGTTTCTTTGCCGAGCTGAAAAAAATGCCCATCCTGTGCGGTCTGATTCTGCTTCATGTGCCTTGACATGCATAAGCTACACACTAGTGTTACTAGCTGCATTAGAAGTCAGTTATTAGTTAGTTATGCAGTCAGTTATGTAATGAAGTACATTTACCAGACACTGGAAAAGAAGAAAGATCAGGCCATATACGTCCTGCTGGCTGCTGGTGCTGGGGCTGAACCGGCCGCTTCTGCTGTTTGCCCCAGATGTAGTCCATTAAAATCTCGTTATATCCCAGGCCACTCCCTCTTCCGCCTACTGATGAGCGCATGCGGCCCTGCTGCTCTTTAGCCCCACCCAGCTGCCTCTCTGGACTGCCACGATACATCTGTCTGAGCTTTCCATCTGTCAGGGACTCTGAACTTTTATAGGGTCCGGCTCTTGAGGGCATGCCATTTCGAGGGGGTGCAGACTCAGGAAGGTTGGAGCGGTCCAGCAACGCCTCTGAGCTGTTACTGCGGCGAGCACGCGAACTATAAGGACAGCCACGACGCTCAGAAGAAGATGAAGAGCTCTCCAGAGATGCTAAACGCACAAACTGAGGACCATCCGGACTGTCGCTCCATGACTTTAGAACCGCACCGCTGGACACATCAGACCTGATGGGAAACAAGAGAGATTTTGTTACAGGACTAATTTATTTATTTAGAAGTCAGCATAAGTCAAATCAAGGTTATTATCATATATATTCAGAATACAGAGCATTCAAAATACTGTGCAATTCTTGTACTAACAGAAGCATACTTCTACAGATAACACAAAGTTCATGGTAAGAGGAGCAAAAAAAAAAAACAAGGCAGCGTGGTACTGCAAACAGTGAGGCAGACAAAAATAATAAAAATAATAGCATGGGAACCAAACAGTACAAATGGCTTGCAGTATAAAATAAAGTGGAAATGGTAGAGATAAAGAGTTCATAAAGTGTTCAAAAGTTCATCTGCTCATCCAGCGTTACACTTAGGTTAGCATTAGTGAGGTCAGGTATTGATGGATGATTGGTTCCATAGTTAGATCACAAACACCACTTCAACCCAAAGGTATTGAATGGAGCTCCATCACTCCAGTTGATCGGAATCATTTTCGTATTGACAGATCATTGCTTAAAAAATCAGCATTGGACAGATGTGTAGATTTGACTGATATTTATTGTATTCGGTAAGAGAAGAAAAAAATGGGTGACACTGGGTTACTGTGCTAAAATGTTTGCATTTTATTCATTTTACTGCTTTTGTAACCCTATAGAAGTAAATTACATTATTACAAATTACAGATACATACACTGTCAGAAAAAAGGTACTATGCAGGTACGTTTTTTGTTTATCAAGGTACAAATAATACAAATATATCCTCAACAATGAGTTACAACAATGGTTTTAAGATTCAACTGTGTTTTCCCAGGGAAAATACGTATTTGTACCTTTTCATCACCTAATGTTATAAAACAGAACAACAAAATAAAAAGTCTTGAAAAACGTCAGTCCCCATTACGCTACTCATTCAACATGAAACCCTACCAATTCCCTCAGATATTTTGGGATAATAAAACACATTTTAAAATGTAGTTCTCTGCATGATGCTAAATTACTGTGCAACATCAGTGCAGCACTTAAAAAAGTAAGCCACAGCTCTATATTAGTTTCAGCCGAATTCTGTTTCTTTTTTTCTTGTTTTTCCTGTCTGTGGTTACCTGGACGGATGCTTGAATACCAAAATCAGATGGAAAAAGATGCATAGTCCTAATAACTTCAACATCTTCAAAATGCTTCATTAATTAAACCCCATTAAAGGGACAGTTTTGAAAAAAAATCAAATTAAAAATTACACAAATTCCCCCTTACCTCAAATGTAGGCAATCAGCCAAGAAATGTTTTACTTCTTTAGTTTTGCACTGGAGCTAGAAGAGTATTGTAGCTAACAAGTAACAGAGCTCATATCCCACTAATTAGCACCCTGCAAACATGTTAAGTTGTTAAGTGACCTCAAACATACTTGCTAATGTGGTTTCTGATACATATGGTTATCTATAAAAATGGACAAAAGTACAGACGACAGTTAAGCTTCAACTTGCCCGCAAATACTGTATTTAGCTATGCAACACACTTTTGTAGATTCTAGACACTAAACATGTCTTGGCTGATTGACTTCATTTGAAATAAGTTGGCCATTGTTTAATAAATTTCTACAACCCCTCAGTTATGTGAGTTTTGTGGATTTATGGTTTATAGCTGAATGAAATAAATAATAAAACCTCATGTGAATGCTGATTGGTGCATTTCTGGATAGGAGGGGAGTGGCTGGAACGCTCCGACCCTCCACATTTGACGCACTTCTAGGCAGGGAGTGGCTTGGGCTGGGTAAAAATTACACACAAAAATCATCACACACACAGATTCAAATTTCGAAATTCCAGTTTCATAGGGCTGCTTCCCATTTGTTTCATCCCCTTGTAATATCAGCACTTACCAGCACTCAAATCTTTCAGTGGTTAAAAATCTTTGGGCCAAAACACTTTATATATGTACTTGTAACAACTGTTTAGATTAGAAAAGTTTCACATTATTATTCATTATACAGGGAAAACCTGCTCTCTGTACTAAGGAATACACTTTGATGAACATGAGTGTTTAAACTAAGAGTACTCAAAGGATCATCAAATAGCTGATAACAGTGAAAACCAAACATTACTCAGAAAGTTTTAAAAGATGGCAAGGTGTCCCCAATTTTTTGACAGACACTAGGTGTGGTGCAGGTGTGAGTGTATACCTGACAGAGCTGGAGGCAGAGTTCCTTCGAGTTCTCATCTCATAGTAAATCTCCACTGGAGAGAGTTTCCTGCTGAGGCGGCTCTCTGGGCTCCCTGGGGCCAACCGGGGATGAGAAAGGGAACGGTGCTCTGGAAAGACACTCGGAGACGAGTTCTCTGAATGAAGCGCGCACACACATACACACACACACACGGTTATAGCTGTTCCTTGGGAAGCAAACAGCATCCAGCAGCATTACAGCTGATCCTGGATCAGTCTGGCCTGGAGCCTGTAGGGTGTAAGTCAGATTTGGATCTGGCACCTCCCAGATTGAATCGGGCACCTATTTTGGTAGATCCAGCACCTTGTTCACATTTTAATCATATTCATATGACGATCTGCCATATGACGATAATATTTTCGGAAAACATCTCATGCACGCACTTTCAATTTCAAATCCTGTTGGGTGTGAGGAGAGGAAAACAACCACCAACGCTGTTGAAATGCTGTGACTGTTCATCCCCTCAAAAGATTTTAGTAACTCTGAGTAAAACCACTGCCTGGTCAGCAGCAGTGGCACTTGGACTGCTGATTTAGCTGGGCATGACAAATTCACAGGTGGGCCAAAACCTGAACTTCAGTCCTGTGGCTACAATAAAATAGTACCTTAGTACCTTAAAATTACAGGCATATGTTATGCGTAGATCTTAAAATGGAAAAAACTGAGGTACATGAAACCTGGAACTCTGAGGCAAAACAATAAAAAAATTAAAATCACTTTGAGTCACAATGTCTAACGAAACTTGCTTGTGATTTTTCTTTACTATTATGGCATTTATGTGTTCAAATTTAATGAGCCACTTTCAATGTTGGATACTGTTTGTAGTTATTATATTTCTGTAACGTTATAAGTTCTGCTTGGTTCCTCATATTGGTTAAGAATATAATTTTGAATATTTTGGCTTATTTACACCAAAAGCTGTTGAGAGCATGTTTGTACAATGCTTAGGAGCCTTGTTAACGCACTCGTAAGTTGAAAGATCCAACCCTTTTCTTTCCCCCCCAACCTCCCTCCCCCCCGATTGGCCGGACAGGTCTATCATTTATTCTGCTCAGTGTTCTGGGACCTCAACATTAACAAACTGAGCCTTGTGTAAAAGCAGTAAGATGGTTTTCTCAAAGCATAACTTACCTACCATGCACCACCCACAAATGCATTTTGTCATAGCTACTGTTGTGAAGTTCGACATGCTTAACAGAATGCTGCCAAAAATTTCATTCTACCTGATGAGAAACTGTAGCACACAACTCAGTATACCAGTGATAATTTAATTAGCATTTACTGTATTATTGCATCTGCCCTGTGATGGACTGGTAACCTGTCCAGGGTGTTTCCTGACTTCTGCCCAATGACCACTGGGATAGGCTCCAGCTCCCCCTGTGACCCAAAAGGATAAGCGGTTTAGAAAATGTATGTGTGTGTGTGTATTATTGCATCTGCCCTCTAATGGACTGGTAGCCTGTCTAGGGTGTTTCCTGCATTCCGCCCAGTGAGCGCTGGGATAGCTTCCAGCACCCCCATGACCCAAGAGGATAAGCAGTTTTGAAAGTGTGTGTGCGTGTGTATTATTGCATGCAAGTGAACATGTTAGAATAGACTGGGAATAGTTTTTTTGCCATGTAATCGAGATTTCTGGGAATAAACATCTGATTGATAGTCTAAATAGAATGTTTCATGTGGCACCTGCATCAAGAAGAATTCCTCAGCTATGTCCGTACATTTGTTGAATAAAGTGGTGAATGACTCACCATTGTCTTGGGACTGAGTTGAGTCTGACATGGAGCTGCTCTCCGACGTAACTGTCTCCTCTGCAAATGTCAAAATGATAAAATCAGTACTGCAGAAAACCCACAGTGTCAGAAAGCTTTGAAAAACACAAACATTACCACATTTCTTCTTTACTCAGTTTAGACCCACAGCTGTAATGTGTGCCACTCTCATTCAGAGCTACTGTGTCTACATATACATAGACATTAAAATAGTTTCTATTTACAAATACGATCTGGTTCCCACACAATTTTCTCCAGCATGTTCAGTCTGATTATAACAAAACCCTCTTTCAGCACTGATTTAGCTGCAGCTAAGAAGATAAACAGGGAAGGCAGCTAAGTGCACGATCCCCGAGCGCTTTCTGAAAGGAGATGAGTGATGTCCTAAAAGCCACTTGCGCACTGCTATTGTCCTTCTCAACTGAGATTTCAGTGAGGAATAATGTTGGAAATGAGTCAGTAATCACACATTCCTCTACTCTTCCTACATCTGCATTTTACAGGTGCAAATGTCATATAGAACAAAACCTTGTATTTCCAAAATGCTAACTTTTTCAAGGAGAAAGAAAAAAACATTCTTAACTTATAATAAAATTAATAAGTTCATGTACAAATAAAGTTATTTAATTTAGTTAATTTAGTTAGTCCATAAAAGTTATTTTAGAAAAAATGTCTGCTGGTCCATTTATTATGAATTGAAAGTCACTAGTCATTTTAAACATTCCGCCTTGATATATTCCTGCCAGGAATACACTGTGCAATTTTAGCCCATTTTTAAAACCACACAATCACAACCACCTCCTTAATACAGGTGGAGACATGTAGGCTAGGAAAAATAAAGGTGAAAAAAAAGTCGATGTTTGCAGAACTAAAGCCCATATTTGCGACTTTGCTCTGTTTGACTAATTAGAATTGCGAGGTATAAAAGTTAATGTGGTGATTTTTTTAATTGTCTTTGTAAAACACGTTGTACTGTCCTTCTGTGTACATCACCGCCTGATGTTAGCAGCACTGCTCAGTTTCTCTGCATGTTAGCTCAGTACGCAGGTTTATTAAATCGCACCGTTTATGACTGAATTTAGAGGACATTCAACTACAACTCAACCAGCCAAACAAAAGGCTTCAACAAAAATATGAGCTCCTCAGATGCGCTGAGCCTCAGATGTGATTCCTGCTGTCACTGTGCTACAGAAACTGTTGTTGAAAGAGACTGACGAGGATCAAAACTATGAAACGTATAGCTGTACAGAAGCGCTTTTCTGACATGGAACAAACTATTGTAGCATAGCTAAATTTTTTATACCCAATCATTTTACTGACCTATCTATTTACTGAATCTATTGAGGACCATTTGCAAATTCTGTAATTATTATTATTATTATTATTATTATTATTAATAATAATAATAATAATTGCATTTTACATTACAATTTGCTTTACAAACATGTAATAAAGCTTAACAGCAGCAAGAAATTCTTATAATTAAATTCTTACTTTAAAATGATAGAAAAAATGACACAGATCAAATTAAAAAGATAAATACCAAGATACAGAGAGTTTTAATTAAATGCTAAGTTAAAGAGATACATTTTTAAATGTTTCTTATAGGTGTGAACTGAGCTTGACTCTCTAGTGAAAGGAAGAATTGAGTTCCACAGTTTAGAAGAATAATATCTGAAAGAGGCTTCTCTATGTTTTCACATGCTAGAACACAAACAGACAGACATTCTATGATGTAAACAGATGCTAGGTCATTTAGAGCTTTGAAAACTAGTAAAAGAACAGGTAACCAGTAAATTGGTCCAAAATATGTGATATGTGAGAGATAGCATAATATTACAATTTCTTTTTTCGAATACAGATACTGATACTGAAACGTCTGATTCTGACACAGATCTGCTTTTTTCTGTGGAAACCCTCCACTCAAGATGAACGTCTAAAAGTTGACTTTCATGCTTAAATTAATCAAACACTCTACAACCCCAGAGGAAGAAATACACAGCTAACAAAATGACATCACAAAATGCAAGTGTGTGCTATTTCAGGCTAGATTTGTTACAGGATGGGATCAGATACATTCTTTTTCTCTTCCAAATTCTAATTCAGCGGATACAGATACATATTGATACTGATACTTCTGCTTGGAGCCCAGTAAATTGCCACTTGTGCTTACATTGTTCACTTGCGCTTACATTGTACTGATATATTCCTTACACTGCACTGCACTGCTCATTATGCACTGGTGTGAATGTCACTGCTGAGACTTGTCTGTGTTGTGTTACCTGTGTGACACCCGCGGTGAACAGTCCTCTTGTTGTGAAGTGTGTTTTTGTCAGACTCAATGTTCCTGCGGAGGGCGCCACTAAAGAGTGTCTTCATCTGTCTGCGCTGGCCTGGGTCATCCTGCACAAAAGCAAACACAAGGTAAGGCACAGATCCTGAAGCTATGTATTCTGACAGTCAAAGGATTTCTGGCAGTAAAATAAGAGAATGTTTTCTCAGGTGTGAGCACCTCAAACTGGCTACCAGCTTACAGGCTCATTCCAACAAGATGCTCTGGGAGGATCTTCTGGAAATCTATTAGGGTCTTGTCTGCCAGCTGCACAATGTTTATTTCTATATTACTAATTCTGTGCTCTGTGATTAGATTCACTTTGGTTGTTTTTTACATGCACACCTCTAAATGTGAATGTGTTGGTTTGATGTTAGTTTGATGTTGGTTTGTGGTTTGATTGGGTTTTTCCACTATGTGTTTATTTATGATGTGTACACAATGTCAGTATTTTTGCTACTATGGCATGGGATGGGCAATGACAACTCGTTCATTCACAATATCTTCCAGTATTTGTATGACAATTAAAGCATATCACAATATCCACAAAAATGTACCCTCACAAAACCAGATGCAGTAAAACATTTGGCAACTAAAAAAGCTTTCTACAGTTTTATTGTTTATTGTTTTTAGGCTTATCACAGTATCTATGGTAAAATACATGTCATGAGACAATGTCATAGTGGTATACCCTCTTTTGCCCTGGTATACCTCCTACCTCTACTGTGACACCCCCATTTCCCTGAATCTAACTTTCTCTCTTTCAATGTACCTCATTAGCTGGGTGACTCACCTCTGGTTTGATGGGGGTGATGGGGGCCAGTCCGGCTCGGCGCTGAACAAACGGGGGTCTTTCTCCCACTTCAAGTGGAAAGTCACGTGACAGCTTTCCTGTCAGCTCCTGCAAACAAATTGACATTGACTTACTAGTTCGGATGCTTGGATCTGACTTTGGATCCACACTTCAAGTCCTCACTCTGATAACCATACAACTTACACATTAATGTCATGGTAATTATGAAATTCGTAGTATGTATATAGCCATACTCTGAAACTGTAATTTAAAAAACTGACATCACCTCAATCATACTCTAAAATACTCATACTACCTCGTTATACTCTATATAATATATATATATATATATATATATATATATATATATATATATATATATATATATATAAAATATAGAGTGTATATATAATATAGAGATATATATACGTTATAAATTACTTGTTTCGTCATTCATATTCTAAAATACCTCCTCATTCATAAAATATTCATTACTTGTCAACCATAGTCTAAAGTATTCATATCACCTCAGTTATACTCTGATGCACATATCCATATCACCATAGACATAGTCTAGTGGTTGTGTTTGTGTGTGTGTGTGTTGTAAATAGATGTACCGCCTCCAGCAGACACACTTGGCGCAGTTCCCCTAGTCGGCTACTCAGGAGCGTCTGCAGAGTTTGCTTTTTCTCTTGCAGCTCCGAGATCCGCTCAGCCTGCAGCTTACTGTCCTCACACTGCACTTCTGAACACACACACAAACCCAGGAACACAGAGCACAATAAGCTCATGCTTTTTTTACACAAAGGGGTGGAGTAAATTGGAGTTAAAGGCACAGTTCAAAAAAATGTAGCTAAGTAATGAAAGCTTAGACCCCACCAATTACCATCATGCAGACTGCATGCCTGCATTAGACACTGCACTGAGTTGTTATGTAATCTCAAATAGACCTGCTTATGTGCTTTCTGACAATGATATACTGTTGGATGATATTGCAGAATATTTTTCTACCAAACTATTTGTTTAAACTGTCAGCTGGGATCAAACATATGTTGATCCATACCTGGCTGATCCTCAGATTGCTGAACTCCCACCCATAATGAACAGCTCTCAAAAAGAAACATGGATAACTCACCAGGAGCCCCTAAACCCATGGCAGTGATCAGATGACCTTTGACCTCCATAAGATGTGACTCAAGATGCTGTGCTGATCAAAATCACCAGCCCAACCCTCACCTGCTGACAGAGATGAGGACATCAGCTCTAGGAAGAACTTCAAGCAGGTTTGATTAGAACAATGTTAAAACAATGCCTTTAGCTCACCTTGTATTTGCAGCCATGTGATGTCATTCAGCTAAGTGTCTCTAAGCATCCACACTGCTACACTGTTTACACCAGGATGGAGAACACTGTTAGATACTCTTCAGAGACTCAACTTTAAGCCCTAAAAGAAAAACAGCAAAATATACTGTTAATAGCCCTCTGAGGTTGTGAGTATTTTTTTCACTAAACGACATACCCAAATAAGCAACTCCAGGTCTAAGCCGTTTTTTTTCGTCACTACACAAACAATGGAATGGTGTTTCTGAAAATCACTGCTTTTTGAAACTTTTTGAAACTGTCTTGTGGTAAACAAAAGTGTTATAAAGATATTTCCCCCTAATGTCAATAAATTCTCTGAATTACAAGGACATTAACTAGCCAAAATGCTAATAATGCTTCATATATGCTACACTCGTAAACATTTTGAAAATTCAAAATTATATAAAACTTGAAATTGTGTATCAACTTTTATACAGTCGTCTTCATATTTTATTGTTCAATTACTCCTTGTTTGCTGAATTTAACATACTGCAAAAATGTACAAAAACTAAATAACATAAAATGTGGTCTGTGCAAAAGTTATGGCACATTTTATATTTATTTTTATAAATCTTTATTTATTTCAGCAAATGAACAGAAATTGTACATTAAAATTTTTAAGTTTTTCCCTTCCAATTTCAACTACTTAATAACTTTATAATAATTGACTTAATAATTCAAATCAGGCATTGATATTCCAGGGAAAAACGTATGTAGGACAAAACAGCTTTGGATCGCTTCAGTTTACCACAGTGTGTGAAACAGAGTGATTTCCATAAAATTACCGGGAAAAAACTGGGTGCAATTATATGGTGAGGCTGTCTCAAGTAACATTTATTTATAAAGCACTTTTAAGACAACTAATGTTGACCAAAGTGATGTACACAGAATCAGCACAATGAATACACTTTAGATAATAAATATATACAAGACAATTCAAAAGACAAACAACATCCAAAAATGAGAAATGATGAGTCAAAGAAAGTAAAACAGACAATAAACAACTAATGTTACTCCCATTTCTCACTGTTCAAATGCAAGTTTATACAAGTATGTTTTAGCCCTGATTTGAAGTCCAAGAAAGCACAATCACTTTTAAATTTCAGGCAAGACCTCGGAACGGCCAACGAATACTGTGAGGACGACCTCAGAGATTGATAATGTTCAGAATAGTAGGCCCTAAAACAGGGTCCCTGCATGTGATTAGTTGGTGCCAGCTCAAAAAGGCCTAGTGTACTAGTCAATGGGGAGCAGTGTTTTTATTTTTTTTATTCAGCCCCACACTACTCCTGGCTGCCCACCAGTTAATAGATCAGTTTTGTTAACTGTGATTTGCCGGCCTACAGACACACGTGGGCCAGTAAAAAACACTTCAGTAAAGTTTGCTATGTTCTTTGAAATAAAAGGAACGTAGGGGTGGCCTGTCTTTTTTGTTTGACCTGTTGGACTGTTTATTGGTAGAGTAGGGAGGGTAGTATTTTTGTAATTTCCTTTTCTTTCTTTTGGTAGATTATTTAGTTAAGATTTTTAAAAGATCTCTTGTTTGTTATTTAGGGTCTTGGGCCTTCCTTAAGTTATATTTCTTTTTTTTTTGTTCCCTCTACTTTTCTGTTTTATGTTTATATCATTTTTTATGGCTGGGTAAAAGTGCAGAGCACCAAATAAATTGACAAATCTGCAACTGATTTGCTTTTTTTATTAGCTATTAATTAGAAATTCCTCTTTGTTCTGGTCTGGAGACTGTGCAAGCAGACTCGCTTCCTCTTTGTTGCATCTTAGCCCTAGGAGACATAACACTGAGAAGGCTCAGTGGTGGCAAAGTTATGTTAAAACATACAGCACTGGGCAAATAGAAATCTACACCTGTATCTGCCTCCGTCTATCTATCCATCCATTCATCCATCCATATATATATCCATATATCTGTCATCCGTTCATTCATTTATATATTCTATGCGAATGCAACACATACAAAAGGTAGGGAGAACAAAAAATTAAAAAATAGTAATTCAGCAATTAGAATATAATCCTATTGCTCGTTGGTTTATTTACGCAAGATTCTGCATGCCGTATTGTAATCTGCACTACTAATTTGTGAGCCAATTTAGAGGGCTACAAACAGGCCAAACATTAAAGTGAATATCGCTTGCATTTAGAGGGGTGAACTTCAGTTCATCTGTCAGATTGCAGACTGAAAACATCACACATTTATTTAGAAGGGTGGACAATTGATAGACTACTGATTGTATGACTGATCCTATTTAACGAATACCGTTTAACCCTACTCCAGACTAATATCAGCCTCCTGTATTAAATAGAAACTCTCTCTGAAATACAGTGGCCCAAAAGGTATCTAGGCACTTCAGCCATTGGTAAACCTTTATGAAATTCTTTAGGTTACTTCATAAATGTTGAACAAAATGATATTTGTTTCAGATAAAACACTTTTAGCACATCAAACTGATGTTAGACTTTTTGTGCGGAGAAAGCCTGTAGAATTCCAACCAGACTGTGCCAAGGGTACTGTAGAACACAAAGGTGGAAACATCTATATCTGGAGCTGTTTTTCTTTCAGGTGTGTCGATGACCTTGTGTTCACTGATAAAATCATGACCTCAGAAGTGTACAAAGACATTTTGATTGAAAACCTGCAGAAGTCAGCTAGGGAATCGCTGAAATGAAAACTGAATCTGAAACACACCAGCCATCTTTGCCAAATGAAAATGACAGTCTTTTAAATAAATAAATGCCACCTGGTTTGACATTTGTTTCTGAATATTTTCCTGAACAGTATGGCCCCAATGGCCAAATACTTTTTGGGGCCACTATACAGGCCAAAGCTCAGAGATAAACATAAACTGCCTCAGAAGTAAGGGATGTAAAATGCTGTGGATGCCACTAAGGATTCACTACTGAAGCATTTCTGCAGTGTCTGTGACACTGTAAACAAACAAAACAGTAAATTTAAGACCAGATGCCACAGACTTGTTGTGTTTCGGTTATGCTGGTGCCCCACCCTATGCATTTCACAGCAAGCCACAAAAACAAATGAAGCAAAGTGATGGAGCAAACAAATTATGTTTGTGTTTGTGAGGATGTGGCAGTGGAGGTATTTCATGCAGCAGCTACACAACTTAAACCCAAAGTAAGGACTGTTCAATAAAGACATCCTGTTCTTCGGTCTCTGGACTCTGGCTTAAAGTGACAGTTCATTTACCCACATTTACACAGTTTACCCTCTGACCTCAAATGTAGACAATCAGCCAAGATGTGTTTGGTGTACAAAGTTTGCTTCTTTAGTTTTTTTTTTTTTTTTTACTACAGCTATGAGGCTAATACATGAACAAAGTAATGACAAATAAAAATTAACAAAGTAGGGAAAAATTCAGGCATCAAGATGGCTGCTATGTCTGTTTTTAGCTATGCAACATATTTTTCTGTATTTATCAGAGTTATAATTGAACGTTTCTTGACCCAAAACACAGCACATTTTAAATCTAAGCCTTATCCAGAGTGCAAGAACATACAGTTCAAAACTGAGCAAAATCAGCTCAGTCACCCTAAGTGTCAAATAAAACCTGATATTTCAAATGACAGTGACAATTAAACTACTGCACAGCAACAATAATAGTCATCATTACATCACAGATCAATAAAATAAAAATATAAAAAATATCTCTGACATCATAAAAAAATCAGCTCTTTAAAATTTATTTTAAAATTCTGCTTTTAACCAACTTAACCATGAAGTAATGCTTTGGCCAAACATCCCAAACGTTGTACGCTGTATACGCTTTTTATAATGTGCTGTTCTCTGTGTAGATATTAGCCATCACCTGTTTAATACTGTTATTAGCTAGCCTAGCTAGTATTTTAACCTGGGCTATAGTTAGGTTCGTTGCGAGGTATTGCTTTCCATTGTGAAACGACTGAGCGTTCTTCCTGTAGTGATTTATCGTGTATGACCGTTTGCTTACCCTTTTTCTCGTTGACTCATTGTTTTTGGATTTGCCCTTCTGTACTGTTGCCTGGTTACTTGGATTTTCAGTTTTGACTATTCACATGTATTTGCATGACTTTGCTCTGTTTTTTCCCTTGTCGGTTATGGTCGCCTTGTGTCTTCTGTTGTTTACTTTGGAACTGACACATGCCTGTTTTTTGACGACGTTATACTTGCCAGAATCCCCAAGTAAAACTTCTTTTTTGTTTTATATCCCCGAGCGTCTGCTTACTGGTCAAACATTACAGAATACCTCGCCCATCATGCAGATGCAGATGCTTTCCAAAAGGCGCTAACGGAACAAGGACAACTACTCGGCAGACATCAGCAGGTTCTTTCTGGGATAACTCACTCACTGGGGTCTTTAGCTCATCAGCAAGCTGAACACCAGTCACAGTTGGCGCAGCTCGTAGCCAGTGTTAAAGAACTAAGCAACCAGTTACAGAATCTTAGTGTAACAGAACCTAAAGTTAACATTGCTAATCCGGTAGTTCCTGCTATAAACTGTATGGTGACTTTCCCTGTTAGCAAACCTGATAAGTTTGACGGTAACCCTGACAAGTGCCGAGGATTTTTGCTCCAATGTTCCGTGTACTTTGATAATTCTGCCGCAAGTAATAATCAGGCAAAGATTTCCTTCATTGTGTCCAGGCTGGCTGATAAAGCGTTTGAGTGGGCTACAGCCAGCTGGAGTAGGATTCACTGTTTATCTTATGTTCAATTTCTAAGTAAATTCAAGACTGTTTTTGACCATCCGTACGAAGGAAAAATCAGTAGGGAATTATTAGCTAAGTTAAGACAAGGTGGTCATTCAGTAGTAGAATATTCCCTTGAATTTCGAACTCTAGCTGCCAGTAGTGGCTGGAACGAAGCCACACTACTAGTGATATTTAGACAAGGACTCAAACCAGAGATACTGAATGAACTTGCGTGTAAAGATGATGACTTGTCTCTGGATGAACTTGTCAGTCTAGCTATTAAAATAGATCATTTGCTGCAAAACCGTAGGAAAGGTAAGCCTGACAGGAGCTTCAGAAGGAGTTTTGTTAGAACTAGAAGTTCCCTGGAATCACATGAAGCCT